TTTTTTTTTTTCCCATTCATTCACTATTCTTCTCTGCCCCTCTCTTGCTGGAAGCTGAGTATGCTCGTCGTAGCAGGAACGCACCAGCGCAATCAATGGTCTTGCCACCACTGCTCCGACTCTCAGTCTGGCTTTCTACCAGCACAACAGAGTAGCGCGAGATGGAGCAAAAAGCCACAGACGCAAGTCGCAGTCGCCGCGATTCGATGACGCGGCCGCTTCATTGCGACATGCATGCACGAGGCTGAACACGTTTCCGCATCAGGCCGATCAAAGACCGAAAGCTTGCCGCTCCTCCTCCTGGTCATGGCAGCGCATGCTGGAACGCGCTTCGATCGAGCAAAGCATGGTATGGCATGACGTAGCTGCGGAACACAGTCATTGATCGTGAGTCACACTCATGACTAGACGCATCAGACTCGTCACTGTGAGTCAGACTCAGCGTGCGGTTGACTGCGCGTCATGTCGCGAGTGGATCGATCAGCACGCGAGCGACCGGCACACACTGTGAGACTCTGAGCTTTCGAATGAGAGTTACTGAGCACAATAAGCGTAGGATTTTGATATCTTGCAAAGTAAACGTCAAAAGCTCATCAAATCTCAAAAGCCCGTTCCTGGCAATTTGAGGTCCTGCTGCACTTGCTGCAAAATGCCCTCCAGCGACTCATCCTCCACATGCAAAAGATTATTGAGCAGCAGGAATTGGAGCAGGACTGCATTAGGAACGGTGTTGCGGGAGGAGAAAGAGGAGATAGATGTGTGCAGTGTGAGGAGAGAATGACCAAGCGCAAGGGTCAGAGAGCACTCACTCGGTGCAGTGTTGGCTTTCCACGCTCCAGCCCTCATGGTGCGCAGACAATCGTGAATGCTCATCAACTCGAAAGACTCTGCTTCTCCATCCTCTGGCGTCGGTATGGCTTCTTTAGGAAGCTCGAGCGCATAAGTGAACCTGCAAACAATGTGCGTCAGTAAGCTCAGCGAGAGCCAATCGAGAGGCAGTAAGCAGGGGGGGTGGCTCACTCTACCTCTGGTTGTATCCAACCACCTTCTTCGTGCTCCGTCTCGGTTTGATAAAAGTAGCTCGTGAAGATGACCTGTTGCAGTCTAGGCCTAACCAGCTCTTCCGGCCAACCTGCCTCTTCGGCGCATTCTCTGATCATAGAAGTTCCAACATCCTCTCCCGCTGTGATACCTCCGGCGACCTTGGAGCAGCCCAGCGAGCGTACACGAGGGGCAGAGATCGATGCAGCG